AAAAATTTGGTAAAGTTAGCTTTCATCTTTCTCTTCCTATTTCCTTCTCCCCAAATGCACGGTCTTCCTCCAATTAGCTTTGCTTGCTTTTCATTGACCTCTACCCCCTCAGACCCTTCTGTTTGCTATATCTCAAGAGGTGTCTCAATACTTTCAATAATTTTCCAGTCGTAGTTGTACTATTACATTTCAGCCTCAACATGTGCCATGCATAGTTTTAGGATATACATTCTAAAGAAGCCATTGTTGAATTTTGAAGAGATACCACAATAAAATAACAAGCAAAGCTCAAAGAACTCCATTCACTGGAGGAAAACATAAGAGAATAAATATATCTTATCATAGGAACTCTAAAGAAACAAAGGTTAAAATAAAATTTTACCTGCTATTTAGAAACTTAATTATGGGTTATTTTAATAGTATTAGTTTGGAGAATTAAAGATGTATTCTCGCGATTCTTAACTATGATAAGCATACTACAGAAGGTAAGTTTTTAGATAAAATACTAATAAAATCACATGTCAAACAACCCATGGAGAAGCGCAAGCTTATACCTTGTGATGTGAGAAAATACTGAAATTTCTATTTCGATTATTTAACCTTATCCTTGTAATATATGTTAGTAGATTAACATAGTTTATAAATAATACCTAATAACTAAACATGCATAAATGTTAGTGTGTGTACAATCATTTTTATCTATAAGTATGTGTGATCAAATGTTTAGAAACTATGGAAAAATAATTATTATTTTCTCATACAAAAAAGAAAAATTACGTGTACTATAGAACGTTATATCAGACATAGTGAGAAACAGCAGCTGTAAATTAGGAATTTCTTAGTGAAATAGTATTGAATTCATCCAGCAAAGTACCTAGAGCAACACTGTTTGAAGAGTAAAACAGTCAATTCAAATCCAGAAAGGACATTAGCACTTAATCCGAATCTTATTTTGGACCTGAGGTAGCTGAGAGCCAGATATGATGAATAATATTCTCTATGACGCAGGACTGAATCATGGTTATAGAACCAGGTACAGAACTCAAATTTCCAAATCTTTTTCTACTATATAATACAAAGAGATACATACATATGTCTATATTGATATTGATTATACACTTGTATATATTATACGGATGTACATGTATGTTTTAAATATATATATTTGTGTGTGTGTGTGTATATAGTGGCACAATGAATTTCTGTTCATCATGTTAATTCTTTTTTTTATAAAGCTTATCTATATGTTCCATGGGTGAGAAAGACTGAGAGAGATGGAGATACAGCATACTTAACAGGGAGCTCCACACTGCTATCTACCCCAGTGGCAGTCAGCCTTGATCTCTGATACACATGTGGGCTTGTGTGCTCAAAAAGGTCTCCAGAGGTGAACCAACAACCCTTCCATCCAGGTCTGCCTCACAGAGCATCTTACCCCTGGAACACCATTTGACCCCCTCATATTAATTGTTTAAGTCAAGCTAAAGGAGAAAAGTTTAAATCTGAAATTAGTCCTGTTTTCACTCATCTCCTCTAACAGAAAAAAAAAAATACTCTGAACTCTTTATTTCTTACCAGTATCATCTGAGAACAACCCAGCACAAGAAACTGCATATATGTATATATCTGTATGTATAAACACACACACACACACACACACACACACACGCGCGTGCGCGCAAAACTGTACCCAAAGAAAAGTAAAGGTGATATGAGTTGGGAGTAAATGATATAAAAGCTGAATTGAAAGATGTAATAAGTAAGACTTAAAAGGTCATTCTTAAGGGATTATAGGAAGCCTGTAAGAACAGATTCTATATTAAATCTTCAAATCCATTAGATGAATTTTCTCCAGGGCTCTCAAAGAAAAACATAATACCATGAATAGGACAAAAATCAAGATATGTCTTTAAGAAAGAAGCTAAAGAAAAATAAATAGAAATTATCCAGGTACTTCAAACCAATTTCTAACACCTCGATCTATATTCGTATGGTCCCTTCACAGTATATACAGCTAGTGTTCCAACTATGGCTATATCACTTATATACTGGGAAAACTGTACATCATACGTCGAGTAGGGAATTTTAAGCAGCATAGCTCAGATTATCGCCTCGCCAAGTATTTAGCATACAGTTAAGCACATACAAAACTGATTTATGAGGCTCTAGACAGGTGAAGTGACAGGTTATGTCCTTACAGGCAGGAAACCTAGAGACTCCTTAGCCTTCTCTAAGGAGACTGAAAGTCGAAATAGCTACAGAGTAAGCTAAGAACTTCTAAAACAGTGCGGTGGAGTGCGGAACTGGCCTCTGGCGCTGCCAGAACTAGCGGCATACGCCCAGCACAGCAGGCCCGCCTTCATCTCGTCTTCTCCCGAGGCAGGCAGGAACTACATTTCCCAACGGCCCTCGGGGAACTTCCGGCATAGCGCGCTCGCGCTCTGCTTTCCGGCCGCGTCTTTTACGTCGGTTCGAACGGAAGAATACCTTCCAGGAGGCTAATTTCCATATCATGGGTTCTCAGCTATCTCAGCCTCTTGAAAACGTCAAGGTCGCTGCACCCTACGAGGCTCCCTTCCCCTCTAACCCTGAGCCCCTAGCCACACCTGGAGCGCCGACTCCGGCGGAAGCTCCCCAATTCAATAACTGCTGGAGCTGTCGCTTGCTCTCCGGGTCGGGGCTCATAGGGGCGGGAGCATACGTGTACTGGGTGGCGCGGAAGCCCATGAAGCTGGGATACCCCCCGGGTCCGGGGACTATTACGCAGATGGTCATCGGCATCAGTGAGAGTCGGGCACCACCGCACGGGCAGGGTGGAGGGTGGGAGGGAGATGGAGCAGTCCGAGGGCATGGGGGCCGCGCACGGGCTGGTCACGTACAGGTCGCACCTTGACCGAGGTACAAAAGGAAAGGAATTTGCAAAATCTTACATCTTAGTACTCTTGAGACTCAGTCTGTTTATTCCTCAAAATATAATAATTATTAGAGGTAGGTATAATTACAGTATCGCCCATTTTACTGCTAAGCAAACAGGCAAAAGTATCGTGGTCAAAGACATTAAGTCACAGAGCTGGCCTTGGATCCCACGTTTTTCTGGCCTTTAAGCCCATTTCCCCCCTCCAGATCTGGGGAAATCCTGAGTGAGAGGACTTGATCTTGGCTTAAGAAATTGGGATTTGAAGCCAGATCTTAGATAGGTTGAGAGCCCACGTGGTCTACTTCGGTGTACCACAGGGTAATTGTTTCAGTTTGTATCTGTAGCAGTGCTAAGAGGTCATCAGGATGTCTTACCAGTAAAATGTGGAGTGTTTTGTTTGTTTTTTAGCTCTCAAACCAGTTTAATATAATTTCAAATTTTTCAGGTTTCTTACCTTCTTAACCATCTTGTTTAGATCAATTCTGTTTCCTCTGGACTCCTTTTTCTTGAACTGTACTCTTCTGTAAGAAAGAAAATGGTAGTATATCCTCAGAAGTGATGAGAAGGTTACATAAGATGGCATATATGTAACACTTTGTAAACTAAATGCAACATACATGTAAAGTATTGTTTTGTTTTTTTTCTCCTAGGCATTGCCTGTTGGGGTATAGTGATCCTGACAGACCCCAAAGGGAAAGCCTACCGAGTTGGTTGATTGAAAATACCACCAGTGAATTTGTCATCACCTATTTCTGTCCTCATGACACAGAGCAAGCATGAGTTTATGGATGTTCTCGACAGACTTCAGTACCGCACGTAACTAATTACAAGACTGAAAAGACAAACATGGGTTGTCATTTCTTGGCCGTGAGCATCCTGGCCTTTTTTCTCAGATCCCACAAGGATCAATAAATCCCTCAAAAAAAAAAAATTGCAGTGTTTTATCTGGGGA